ATTTGGCGTAGGACGATTACCTAGTCAGATGTGCTTCGGACGGACCAGAAGCCACACTGCGTTTCTTGGATCTTGGAGTCAGTTATTCCGCGGCGCCTCCTTTCCAGCCGTTTGCGTAAACTTTACCCGAGAGGCTCAATAAGGTAATTGCCCGATAATTTGAGCACTCCCTCTGGTCTCCCTTCCTGAACAGGGGTATGCAACCCCCGTTCTTCAGTCCGCCTTTCTCTTCCTCGTAACCGTTGCAGATTGATAGACACGTGTAAGCCAGCACATTTCTTGGTCGCCTAATGCTTTGAGCGGATTTAATGGTGAATTTTATCAGTTCCAGCAGCCTCCATATTTCAAGCTTTTTACAGTTTGTGTAATGTTATCTACAGAAATAGCAACATCCGTTCTCTGCTGCTCTGCAAGCTAGTCTTCCTCCGGTTCCTCAGGGTTAAGGAGTTCCTCAAAGTACTCTCTCCATCGTCGAAGAATCTCCTCATCTTTGGTAAAATGGTGTCCAGACCTGTCCTTCAAGACTCTGAGACTGCCCGTCTTTTCACCTCTGAGCCGGCGGATGGTCTGCCAGAATACTTTGTTTGCCGTGTGGAAATTCGACTCCAGCACTTCACCAAACCTCTTCTAGAAATCAGTTTTGTCTTTCGCCACTGCTTTCGCTGCTGCATTGCATGCTTCGACATATCGTATGCGGGTAGAAGGCTCTTTGTTTCTAAGCTATTTCTTGAATGCAACCTTCTCTTTAACTACCAGTTGTATCTCTCATGTCTACCTGGAAGTTCTTTTCTGACCTCCAAGCGGCGGGCCAACCCAATCATAACGAATATATCTGAATTGAGGCCTGTTTTTGATCAGGTGTCACATGATGCTGAGAAGGATGTGAGGTTTAGAAATACGGCGGTAGAGTATTATGAATGTAAGTCGAGACATATCTGTACGAGACAGTTTCCGACATGTTTTTGGGGAAAGGCATTTGATAACTGTGAGCATCCCCTAAGCTGACATGGCTCCTTCTTCTGATGCCTTTCCTTTGATGCACTTGAACCAATTCCTTATGCATAAGTCCCTTAATGATCAACCTCTTATTGTGCTTGTCCGACTAAATGCTCGCAACTTAAGTGAAAGAAATGAGTGCGACGCTTCCCGGCCATACTTCTTTTTCGCATGCATACTGAAGCAGGTTAAAATTTTATTAATCGTGATGGAAGGCTACTGAATACCGCTTGGACGTCAGATATTCTCAGTTTATTCACGTCTGAGGATGCAGATGAATTGGGGAAACTCACGATTGATTCAATTTTGCTCAGGTTTTATCATAATCAAAAATGCCTGCAATGACCCTCGATATGGTTATTTGGCGAGGGCGTGGTGTCAAGGTACGGTACTAACGATCCCCTGCTTAGTGAGAAGGACAAGTCTGTCGGGGAAGCATGGCTAAACCCTTCTATCCGAATGAAAGATGTGAGAAGTGTTCTCGTCAAAGAAAATGATTTAAGTGCATTAGATCGTCTGCCCTGTAAGCGGAGCATAAACGTGCCTATATAATCGCAAAATGAGAGGTTGTGATCAAACGCATTGCGAATAACTGTTTCTGTTTTCAGCTCCAAGCCTAGCACCCGAAAATCTTCGGTTCGACACCGTCGATCAAAACGAAGTGGTTTTGAAATGGCAGGTATGGAAAATTGCTGTGCATAATTTTTACTGACAACATTGCGTTGTCTGACGACAAGTTTTGCACATGTAACGGATTTTACCAGCTGTCATATTTGATAGAAGCCGAGCGAATATTCATGGAACTGTGAAAATGTGAATTTCGACATCGCCTACAGAACCAGCACAAATCCGCAGGAGAAGATAGTTCATGCATATGGCAAACAGAGCGAATACGTGTTTCACACGTCTCCTCACACCCAGTGGTACGCGAAGATGCGAACGACGAACAAAATCGGTACAAGTTCGTGGTCGAACGAAGTTAGTGTGATGACAAAAGAAGGAGGTGAGGGACTGATGTGTTTCACTGTAACTGTCTCTTTTTGTCCACACAATTCATTCATTATAAAATGTTTCTTTATTTGAAAATCCAAGTACTACCCTTTAAAAATACTCATTCCGATTTTCTTTTATCTGGCTACGTCTGATCAAACTGTCATCGACAGCAGAATACCTTGATTAAAGTCGATATGAGGTAGCTCGAAACGTTGGTTTTTGAAGTAAATCGACGTTTCTAATTCCTTATATGGCTATCCATTGAGTCAGAAAGCACAGTGAGGTAGTAACATTGTTTTTCTGCCCTTCGACGACTCCAAAATTGGTTAATGACAAAGTACTTGCTCGCAGTTCATAAATGCACTAACCAAAATTTGAAAGAGACTTGTTTAAACTATATCAGTGATCTAAAAGACTCATTCTTAAATGACGCACAAAAATACTTTAGCACCCGGGCGTGTCGGCGCTCTTACGTTGGTTCCGTTGTCACCGAATGAGGTGAAAGTTATGTGGCAACCACCCGTGGAAAAACGCGGCGTGATCACTGGCTATGATGTATCATATCGTCTGAAATATCAACTAGCATGTCCTGACGAGGAACCACAAGGCGTGACCCAAAATTGGATCACTGTCTACAACGTAAAGGACATGGATTACGTTTTGTCGGGTCTGCTTCCGTTTTCCGAATACGATGTCAAAGTTCGAGCACGGACGTCTGAACCAGGAGAGGAGGAAATGAATGTCGTCCGAACGCATCAGCAACGTTAGCGGATATAGCGTTTTCTGTTGCGAATTCGTTTGTGCAATTTTTACCCGTTTAGCGCCTTCGTCCGCACCATTGAACTTAAAGACCAGTTTTGTGCTTGAGCGAACTCTTGGGTTCATTTGGCAGCCGGTACCATGCAGTGAACGCCACGGAAACATCGTCGGTTACGAGTATGAGCTTTCAGGACTGGATGACTGGGCCAAACTAGACGTACGTAGAGCGAACACCACACAGACCAAGGTAATTGCTATTTAATGGGATTACCGTGAACGTTTTCTATGTGCTGCCGCTTAAAGGTTGAAATCGAAGATCTTACCCCGTTCACGAAGTACAGTATGCGCGTAAAAGCGTTCAACAACGTGGGAGGAGGTCCCCCTACGACCGATGTGGAAGTTATGACAACGAAAGCAGGTGAGGAATAATAAGTTTTCTCTAAGAGCGAAAATTCATGTTTTGCATTGACAGACGCCCCTCTGCCACCACAGGACCTTTCGGTAATGTCCGAAGGCATGGACTTCATTTCTATTTCATGGATCCCCGCATATCCACCGTACGGTCCAGTTGAATCCTACCGCGTCCGGTATCAGCAGGTTGGTGCTACGGATCCATCGAAGTCCGTTTGGAACATCGATGAGCTCCTGGTCTATGATCCGCGTTTAAAATGTCATCGCGGAGGCTTCCAAGCCGATTTTGCGCGACTCTGTTTCAACGTGTCACAACTGGAAAGCGGAAAAAGCTACCGTATACAGGTGACGAAAGCTTAATGCCGACAAATGTTAGTTCTGTCAATGCAGCAATTCGCTTTTCGCTCGGTTTCAGGTTGCTGGAAAAATCAAGGATGGCAGCTACGGTCCTTGGAGCGTCCACACGATCGGGAACACGCTGGTTTCCTTGCCAGGTGCGCCTACACTGCTTACGCTTCTCGAGAAGACGGATACGTCGATGAAGGTTTCCTGGCACCCACCAGAGGATCCGAGCCACGTCATTACTGGTTACAAGGTTAGTGACGTTTGTTAAGACTCAAACCGACAGTGCACAAGTTCGAGCATGACATATACGACATATATTAGTCTCAAAACTGACAGATCTTGTGCATGGACCTACAGACTGCAAATGATTTAATATCAGTAGAGCATAGTCTTACTTGTCTGTCAGATTACAGTTGAACCGGTCTTATGTACTTGTTCTGAACTGCCTTAAGAAATGTAAAATTAAAACTCACGATGACCTTCAATTCTTCAGTACCACTCCTACAAATTTAGTTTCCTTTCAAACTATAAACATTGATATAGGTTACTGCTGATGTCATGTCACAAAGACCGATGGTCAGAAAGCTCACGAAGTCTCTCACCGTTAACTCATCCACGACTGTACTGCTTCTGGAAAACCTCGAACCGGACACCGCTTACAACGTAACCGTCCAAGCGATGACCAACCGTGGTTACGGCTCTGGGGTATGGACCGTTTACAGCACCGATCCTGCGGGTAAGTACAATTTGGTAGAAACATATCATTGAGGTAAAACGTCAAAATCTGTTTCAGTAACATAAATATAAACAAAATGTACAAAACACAGTGACACGGATATCGCTCGAACAGTTTTTGGCAGATTTTAGCCAAACTTCGCGCGGCGTTTTGCCTCTTATTGTGAGGAACAAAAATTTGGCTTGTCTTGGGCCGAGTTTTATTGCATAATGACAATTCTGTATTTTGCTGCAATATGTAGTTTTGTGTGGTTACATCAACCAAATGAAACAGTGTTACATTTGTTCTTCATAACTAAAATCCGTTAAGACGGGCATTACTGATCAACGTATTTAAGCTTGACAGTAATGATTGAATCCGTCTACGCAGTGAATGATACGGTTTCCATCGAATCATTCATCCAAGCTCTAGGTATGATCGAGCGTCTGGCTGGGGAGGGAGAATTCGAGTGGGCTGAGTTAGAATTCCGGTGGGTTAACTTGTCTTTCTTCTTTTTTTGACTGATAAATCACTGCTACTGTATAACAGGGCAACAGATTCATACTGTGCTTGCCACATAGCTGCAGTCAACTCTACTTTTAAAATAAGGCACTGCTGGCTGATGGCGCGAGTTGGTTGGAAATCAGTACCTCAACATTAATTTCACGAAAAGAAGTCCATCATATGAGTGTAAGGAAGAACGACTTTCCAACAGATACAACATTTCCTTCCTTCCTTTGGTATTATAATTATGCCTGTGTCGCAAAATAAGGCAACTT